GCCGACCCTGTGCCTAACAGGCGGCTACCCTCCTTTTACTTAGCACCTACGTTCACCAAGAACTTACCAAGGCCACAGGCCGAACGATCAGACCAGGCGCCAAGCCAACTGATCAAATCTACAAAACTAATACGACCTGTCCCTACATCATAGCAGGCGTCCGACGACATCCATCCGGATGAAATTCGTCGCAGAGAGCAGCTCCCTTTTGGGTGGAACATTGTTCTATAAACTAATTACACGGCACCTATACGACTGTCCCCAAGGGCAACCACGTAGCCGTTTTTGAGACAAGGATAACTCTATCACTAAACCAGTGGTAGCAGTTGACATCTGAGTCAGATGACCGCCTGTATTACTTGGGATAAATACAGGGGGTACCTATTGAGTTAATAGCCAACAAACATTGGCGAATCAAGGGGTCTAGCCGGCCTTCGCCGCCTGGTACCTCTACTTCTCAAACAAAAGTGACGGCGACTGAGTAACTCCAACGTTAACTCATAAGTCACTCCCTCAAATTTGGTATGGAACCTAAAAGGTTTGAGTCGTCCGCCTGTTTTTAACAAACAGGGGCACTCAAACCCCTATTCCTACTAGGTAACCTATTGAGTTAATAGCCAACAAACATTGGCAAATCAAGGGTATCAGCCGGCCACCGCCGTCTGGTGCCTCTACTACTCAATCTAGATTGTGACGAAAACTAAGTAACTCCTATGTTAACTTAATAGTCACTCAAACTTAGTATGGAGACTAAAAGGTATGAGTCGTTTGCCTGTTTTTAACAAACAGGGGCCCTCAATCACTACTCTTGCTAGGTTAAAAAATTATGAGTTAAAAGCCAACAACATTGGCAATAAAGGGAAACAACCGGTACCCGCCGCTTGTTTTCTCTACTACTCAATTCCTTGGCGACTAGGTAATACTCTATTTACTTGGTCAGACCACTTTCCTACTTGGTTAAATTTACAAATTACAGGACCGCCTGCCTAAAAAGGATCCAGACAATATAGTTCGAATTCTGATTGGATAAATGGCCGACTGATCGTCTATCCTGGAAATAAACAACCAGTCGTCCAGGGGCATAGGCGGCGTACTAACTCTCCGTACCTGTCTGCAACGTTCAGCCATGTAAAACAGTCGGTCTAGTGAACAATTGGATATTAGATATGGAATACTTAGACAAATTTGAAGCAAAACAAAAATTCATTAAAAAATAAGCCGGTCATTAAAGACCAGCAAAATATTCAAAGCCCCGGCCCCCTGGCCGGGTAAATACAAAGCAAACGGCACGCAGGCCGTGGAAAGAATACATAAAGCTTAAGAAGGGGGCCGTTCAGTATTAGCAGCTGCCGCCTGGTCAGCACTCTTCTTGCTGGACTCGGCTTCAGCTGCATCCTTTTTTTGATGCCTTACCTACAAGCGGCACAAGCGCCACTACCGGCTCCTCCTCCTCCTCCTCCAACTCTTCCCCCAACGCCTCTTCTTCAGCAGCCGCAAGGATCTGTTGATTATATGCATCCGAGCACTGGCGGTGCGTTCTTTCCCAAGAGGCAAAGTCGGCACTGGGGAAGAGGCGGCCCAGGTCATGCGCTGGATTTGAGCGGAGTCTTCCATCATCTCCCGGACCAGCTCTTTCTTCTCTTGCTCAGCCTTTTCCGAGAGCTCTTGGGTAAGACTCTTCTCCTGGGTCACCAGGCGTTCCTTTACGCTGGCCAAGGATTTCTCCATGGCTTCGTAAGAGTACATTTTCAGGCGAAGAGGTTTCAGCTCGGCCTTGAGATTTGTGATGGTCGCCTCCAGCTCGTCATCCTTCTTCTGGGCCGCCTCTAACTGAGCCCGAACAGCGGCGGTAGCCTGCGCCTGATAATAAAGAATATCAATGGTCAGTACTTCATTTTGGGCAATTTGAAACATTGCCTTATCACAGTCAGAGGCGGCCATAGCTTTTGCAGCCTTTACCTCTTTGTTCTTCCGATCAAGCGGCTTGCGAAGGCCGTTAACTCGGAGCAGGGCCTAAGTACAAAAAAAAAACAGGCGTCAGTTTCCAAACAAAAAAGAAAACAGGCGTCCAGAAATTCAAATACTCAAAAATATGCTAAGTATACCTAAGCAAGGACCCCTGCAATCCCGTCAAGGTCAAGGGTGCCGACACCCCTGACCGCCTCCCTTTCAGCTGGAGGAACTGCCCTGATCATAGACTTGGCCATCTCTACCAAGTCAGGCTCCTGGAGGCCGGCTACATCAAGCATAAACAAACGGTTTAGACTTAGTAACAAAGGGAGCAAGTCTAAAATTTACAAGGACAACTTCATACCTCTAGGCGTCCCAGTTGGAGTTTTAGAAGAAGTGGCCGGCTGTTTCTCAGCCGCCACCTGTTTCCTGGCAGAACCAGGAGAGCTGGGAAGATGAAGCTCTTGGAGCACCCGCCTAAAAAAAAAAAAAAAAAAAAAAAAGAAGAGAAAAGTCAGTATATGCATAAACACTCCAAAAAGAGGGTGAAAGGTTCGGAGCTCACCAAGGGTGCCCCCTTCTTGGGAGAGTCGGTTGAAGCTTGTTGCATAATAGAGGCCCGCAACATGGCCGCCGCAGTCTTGGAGGCGGTGATTTTGCTCATGGCGTCAGCTGCAAAAACAAACAGCAAAGTTAATAAAAGATAAACAACAAATGTATGAAACAACAGAGTATTCGACAGGAGACTACCTCTTGAGCACTGACTGCTGAGGCCGCAGGCGGCCAAAAAGTACTCGTCATAGAGCCACTTGAAGCTCGGGACGCAGTGCAAGGGTACTTGCTCTCGTACCCCTGAAGTAGAGTCGACCCTCGACTCTACTTTAAAGAGTCCTTTATCAAGGATCTCTTTCTTAGCCTTGGGGTGAACAGGGGGAATGCTACGGCCGCCTTCAAGAAGGGGCGGATTCCTGTTCCACCTATTGAAGCGTTTGTTCTGCTCAATGTCAGAACTCTCAATGATGAGGAAGGTGCTCCGCCAGTCCTTCCACTTGTTTGCTTTACCTCTCGTCATGAGGTAGCCCCTGTGGCTTGTCAATTGATACCAGCCGGTACCGCCTGTCTTAGGGGTCCGGCTGAGATAGTTCATATGGGCGAAAGCCTCGAAGCTCGGCTCCACCCCGTGCAGTTCGCACCCGGCCACATAGCCGAGCACGTTGACCCAAGAGTTTGGGGCTAACTGCCATAACCCCAACTCATACCCATCCAAAATTCGCTGAACAGCCGGATGTAATGGGAAACGAAGCCCTGCCTTAATGGCCGCCTCGTAGCAGCCAAAGCAGGAGCTTTCATAACTTGAACCAGCCGGCCAGACGACTGTGTCTTCTGGATCCGGCACAAACACTAGAAAATCGGGGCCCATGGTGTGGTTTGCAATAAAGCTCTCCAATTTCTCTTGCATGGCTGTGATTCGGCCCCGAGGTACCGTGCAGTAGTAGGGGGTATTTAGCTCTCGGTAAGAGGCGGATGGTTCCGCCCAATCGTCCCCCTTCTCAACTGTGTGAGAAAGTCTCGCCTCTTGCAGGCGGCTGTTTTTGCTCCCACCAATCGGAATGCGCCATGTGGACCAATCAGGTCCTGCCAAGTGTCCCCTAGTTGGAACTGTCAGGGCTTGCCACGTGGCACGCGCTTATTCGTCCACCTTGGACCTGTTATGTCACGACATGTGGCATACTCCATGCCTAATGGAGAAACCGGCCACCCGGGCCCAATTTCCGAGGGAAGCCCAATCGGCCCTAGGTTTACCTAAACCTAGGGTGGGCACGTTTCCCAAGGTTATAAATACCTCCCTTAATCCTCATTAAGGGGGAGGACAGGAAGATTACGAAAAACATTACGGAACAAACACATTAATTACACACAGTAATAACCGGCTGATCTCGCTAACAAAGCAGATTACCTACATTAAACACTCTCACCTAGAGAGACCTTATTACTTTAATTTCCGCATTAATTACTCCTTAATCAGGTACTAACTTGACCGTTGGAGGCGGAGCTCACAGGAGTCTCCGTTATTTTGCAGGTACAGGCGTCCGGTTCCAGTCTCGGAATTGTAACTCTCCCGCAGGACATCAGAAAACCCCGAAACAACTAGGACACTTTCCAACTTTTTTTTTTTTTTTTTTTTTTGACAATGCTATCTTCAGTAATGTTGTTGTCCCAAAATATTTAGGCTTTCCAATTACTAGGACACTTTCCAACTTCAATAAGAACCATTGATCATTTGATGATTCTATAACCATCTCACAACTCATCCTTATGTTCATTATATTCCCAAACTCGTTTGGATTTTCAAGCTGAACACGTAACCATATGGTACATGAATTTACCATTCCATACTCCTCCATCACTTATAATTCACATACATAACTAATTTACACCACCATTGCCCATCCATCATCTCAACACAACATCAACTATATACAGATCCTCTCTTTCAAAAAAACAATACTCAGACCCTCTTACACTCCTATGACAGTGGTTTATCACTTAATTCAGAAAAAAAATAAAATAAAATCGATTTGCATTGCATCGATGAGATACTGATCTAAGGTTTTGCTCCCCATTCACATACACACTTCCCCTCCAGACCCTCATAATCAATTGAAGAAAAGCTAAAGCTAAAATATAAATATAGAATAGTTTTTTAGAAAAAAGTATTATGTTGAAAGCTGAAAAAAAGGTATACATTCAAAAAAGAAAAGCTGACCTGTATTCAGATAATCAAAATTACAGAAGCATCACTAATTTTCATGAATCCCTGTTAGTTAAATGAGCATCGGTAAATACGAAGTATATTTTCATAACCTAAGTAATCAAATATGAGGTCTAATCCAGAGATATAGCAGACTCAACCATTACAGCTGTACAGTCAATTGAAATTCAGACTAAGAATTCAGAATTCCCTATGTCCTAGAAATGGTGCTTACTGCTAACATAGAAATTAAGGCGTACAAGACATACTTACATTGATAGAGATTTACCGTTCTCACCTTTCCATACTTTTTTATGATTCCTCTTCACACCTAAATAATCTTGCTTCACACCTGAATATTCTTGTGAATCTTGTTGATCCCTTTTGCTATTTTGCCCAACCAAAAATAAGTTCTCCTCATAAGTATCTACATAGTCCATTCTAGGTGTTAATTTTGTCTCGAGACTCTGAATTTGTTGCAGATTATGATCATAGGATAGCCAACCATCACGCATAGTTTTTACAACCACTTCATGATCGCTGATCACCAACACATTCATATCATTCTTGATACTGTCATAGAAATTAACACTGAACAACTTTACCGCTTTCACACCATAATTCTCCATCACCCACAAGCTAAAAATATCATCTCTAATATGTATTACCCCCAGCACCTCCTTGCCATTCCTAGGAACCATGACAACCCGCAAGGATCCATCAGGCATGTTCACTAACTCTTTTGGCAGCATTATTTCGCCGGATTCTCCATTTCCCAATGCCAGTGTCCATATCATTCGATAAACCCGATCATTAGGATCAGTATCCAAATTCACATTCAAATTACAAATCCAATGAACCACCCCATTCAAGCACATTCCTCTCCATCTAATAGTAGTAATAGAATAGGGTACTTTAGTCAACCCCAAACAACTCCATTCACCATCACTAATACTATACACCTCAGAAAGAAAACAATTCCCAGTATAACGGATAGAATACGACACTCGAACCACCTTGTAAGAACACGAACACGAATCAAACCCGAACCCGAAAATCAATTTGGGGAACCCACCAGCAGTATTTTGCACTTCAATAGGAGGAACATCAACAACTCGGTGTTTTTTAATTGAAGGGTTCCATAAAATCAATGGTGATTTATTCTGATGCTTATCATAAAAATTATATAAACACAACAAACCATCAGCAGAAGATACAACAAAATGGGATCTTGTAAAAGGGAAAACCCTATCAAATTCACGCGTCAGATTATCGGAATCATAAGCAAAGAACATAGTATGATTAGCTTTGCAATGAAGATAAATGGGTTCTTTGAAAAGCAGAAATTTCTGGGATTTTTTCGAATTGAAAGCTGCGAGAATTGACATGAAAGATGGGGAAGTAAGGAGAGAGAACCATGACTTACATATACAAATGAATCGTACCAGTGATTTTAATGGCAGCCTTTTCAAGATTTCGATTAGAACATCATCGGATAACGATGGAGGTAGTTGCGATGGTGGTGGTGAAGGTTGTTGTCCAGGAATTGAACGTTTTCGGGTTGGCCATTTGATGGGTAAGTTATGCATGATTTTTCGACTGGTGATTGAGATTTTGGGAAATTTCAGGGGAATTTGTGAATTTAGGGTGTGAAGAAGGTGAAGGCAACCTTTGTACTTTGGAGAGTTCTGGAAAAGTAGATGATTAAGAGCATGCACAACAGTGGACCTTAATTCTTCTCTCTCATTCTCTCCTTTTGACACATCATTTCTCTTTCTTCTACATTATTTTCCACTATATCCATTCTCTTTCTTTTCCTCTTTCTTTATTTTTTCCCATAACAAAGGGGATTCATGAATCCCCTTATTTTTTATTATGCCCCACCATCTTCTATTAAATTAGATATTTGAAAATTTAATATATTAATTAAATTAATGACAATTTTAATATATTACAAAAATATGGAGAAAATGAAGATTTTGAAAATATGGAGAAAATGAAGATTTTAAAAATATTGAAAATATGGAGAAAATGAAGATTTTGAAAATATGGCAAATTTAGGTTCATTTTATAGAGAAAAAAAAAATATAATTGTTGGTGTTTTTTTTTTAAAAAAAATAAGTTACCGTTTTTTTTTATTACCGTTTGAATAATTTTAACCGGTGTAAATGTCAACCAATTACAAAACAACAAATGTCAGCAAAAGCAAGCAACACGTCGGCCCCTGCCAGCCAGCAGGAAGCTGCCACGTCGCTCTTGCTTGTCCCCTTCCCCACCTTTTCCATTCCCCTTCCCCATCTCTTCTTCCTCTTCCCGAAGAGGATTTACCATATTCCTCTTCCTAAAATGACTCCCCATTTCACCTCTACAATGAAGGGGATTCCTCTTGTGAATCGCTAAACATCGCCCGCAAATTACCATATAAAGCCCACAAATATGACTTGGTGTGACCATTATGCCCATTTTCTAAAATTGAACAAATCTCGGTTTAAAAAATGTGGAGCCGTACTGGCTCGCCAGGGGAGACCGGAGGGCAGGCCGGAGATGCGGGGGACGCCGGAGGTACGTCGTCATCGACGGAAAACGAGGTAAGTCACCGTTAAAATTCATGGTTTACCGTAGGAGCGGCTCCGGCGCCTAGGATGGACGTCCTAACCGTAGCATGGACGTCCAAGCCAGACGCCAGAACCACCACAGTGGCGTCTAGCCCAGACGCCTAGACCACCAGACTGGCGTCCTGGCCAGGCGCCACTCTACTGGCTGAGGCGGCCCTGCCAGGCGCCAGTCCAGTGGCTGTGGCGACCCTGGCAGACGCCACCTTTATATTTTTTTTTTTTGAATCGAAAATGATTTTTTTTTAAAAATTCGAAATGGGTTTTTTTAAAATTAATTTTGAAAATTCGAAATAAGTTTTTTTAAAATTAAGTTTGAAAATTCGAAATGGTATTTTTTAAAATTTAGTTTGAAAATTCGAATTGGGTTTTTTTAAAAATTAAGTTTGATTGTTGAGAAAGGTTTTTTTCTAAAATTAAGTTTGACAATTCGAAATTGTATTAAAAAAAATTGGAAATTGTTTACGTGACTTTTATAAATGATTGTGTTTAAAATTTGTATGTGTATGTGTATGAATAATATTATACATAATTATGTTTTTTTTTTATTCTGTGTAAATATAGAAATTAAATGTATTATCCATTAAATGTATTTATTATAATATATAATTGATGCAGGATTATGGTGGAGACGGAAATGATTACAGTGGGATATTTGGACATGATGGTCCATTCGAAGAAGCTCAACAAGCGATTGATTGGGCAAAACAGGTTGCAATTGCAGCTGGATTTTGCTTGGTAGTAGTAACTCATAAATCTCAACGGGATGGTAGAATGGATCGCATTTTGAGATGTGACCGTTATCGCAAAAGAGAAGAAAGAGATTTTCGTACAGCCACTCGGTTTGATACAAAGCGGAAAGGTTGTAGGTGTGAGTTCAGAGTAAAGGTCCGACAACTACGGAGTCGTGACGGTTGGGAAGTGATTGGTTGCTCTAAATGGGGGTATCACAACCATGAGATGATAGTATATGAAGAGGGTCATCGACAGCTGAGCGGCTTAAGTCCTGCTGCGAAACTAGTTGTGAAAGAAATGAGTGATGCTCAAGTCAAGCCTGCTAAAATATTAGCATCTGTGTTAGAGAAATTTCCAGAAGACCATTCAAACCAAAGACACATCTACAACGTCAGACATCAACTTAGGTTTGAACGGTCAGAGGGAAGGAACCCTATACAGCAGCTGCTACACCAGGCACAATCATGTGGTTACCTGTTCTGGTTTGATTCTGATGAAGATACAGCGGAGGTGACTCATCTTTTCCTTGTGCATCCTGATTGTGCTGATATGATCAAGTCTTGGCCATTTGTGATTTTGATCGACTCAACGTACAAGACAAACAAGTACAAGTTCCCACTGGTTGAGATCATGGGGATGACTCCAACGAACCAGAAATTTCTGATTGGTCATGCAATCATCAAGGATGAGACGGCTCCAAGTTATTATTGGGTCTTGGAGAAGCTGAGAAACTACATCGGGCCTAATGTTCATCCAGCAGCCATCGTCAGCGACTGTGAGGGAGGTCTCTTTGCCCCCATAGCAAAGCTGTTTCCAGAATCGAAGCACTTATTGTGCACATGGCACATCAACAACTGCGTGAAAGTGAAAGGCTACAACCTTTTCAATAAGAATTTGGAAATGGCAGAGAGATTGGTGAATGGTAAATGGCGGAAGATCCTACAGGCTACCACAGAGGAAGCGTATGAGCGAGCATTGGCTAACTTCAGGGATTCGTACCAGTGGTGTCCGACACTGGTGGACTATGTGATGCAGCAATGGGTCCCTCACAGGGAAAAGTTTGTCAAATATTGGACAAACCAGGTACTTCATTTCGGAAACACTACAACATGTAGAGTTGAGAGCGCTCATAGAGCTACCAAGGACTGGATTGATTCATCGACCGCTGCTTTGGATACACTGTTCGATAGACTTAACAAGTCAATTGAAACTCAGAAGAACGACATCAGGAACTCTCTAGAGGACTCCAGACGACAACATGGTATGATGTATAGCCATTTCATATTTAAGATTCTCCATGGTCGTGTGTCGCACTACTGCTAGGGGTTGATTCTCACTGAGATGAACAGGATGAGGGACTTGGCTGACGAAGTGTATGCTCGGTGCGGGTGTGCTATTTCAGTAATTCATGGATTACCTTGCGCATGCACCATTCACCGCATTATTACAGAAGAAAGGGCGTCGTTAAATGTTGATCATGTTCATTCATTCTGGCGGACGCTCGTTATTGGTGAGCATGCAGATACTCAAACGGCCGACCGTGAACAGGAGGAGTTGGAGCAGTTTCGTTCGATGTACGACCGAGTGTCCTCCAGCCATCCTTCTATTATTCGTGACGCTACTCATGTACTTCATGACATGTTCCACACGTCTACCTTAGATTTTGAGGAACCCGAAGGAGTTGACTGTCCTCGAGGTCGGCAACGGCGGAACAGGAGTGCGTTTGAGTATATCCGTGGTCTTGGTCGTGCTCGTGCTCGTGGTCGGACATCGTCATCTAGTCGTAGTCAATCTTCATCGTCTGTGAATATGCCCCTGAGAACTGGTACGTTTTGGTTTTTTACATTGCACATAGTTTTAAAATGTTACTCCTGCCTTCTTACCTGTGTTTAATTATATGGTGAATAGGAAGAAACGATGTTGATCAGTTTCCGTACAAGGACAGGATACCTGCGATCATCATGCCGTACTTGGAAGGGTGGAATGATGTAGTCGGAGATGGTAACTGCGGATTCCGGGTCGTGGCTGATGTTTTTCAAATGGGCGAAGACAACTACGGTTTGGTGCGTCAGTTGATGTACAGCGAAATTGCCTCTAACCGAAATGTTTATCGTCATGTGTACCAGGATGACTTGGATGGCGCTCTGCGGCGTATCCGGTGGGGAGGTGGACCTTGCGGCCAAAATCATTATTTTGACGCGCCCCTAGATCTGTTTGCCGTTGCAAACATTTACAAGTGCGCAGTCATGCATTTCGGCCTGGGATTGCATAGTCAAGCTTATTATCCTTGTACCACGGTTCTCCCTTGGCGTTCACGTGAGACTGTCACCACACCGGTCAGAGAGGTAGCTATTGCGTTTCTTGGGTCGTCATACAGAAATTTCATCCGACTAGACATGTCATCCGATTTTCCAGTGCCACCGATTATACCTTGGTGGTACACCATTCGCACAGCGAGCGTAGAGGGTTGGGATGCGCTATATCATGACCGGATCCACGAATGGAACACCCTAGCTGCATTTTAGTTTTTCATGTTTACATTCTTCCTATGTAATCTTATTTGTACGTTGCTCTTTTAATGAGAACATTAATTTTTTATATTGTATTGCTTACTACATTCTATATGTTGCATGGGTAAGTTGCGCGGATCCACGAACGGTTATGTCAAAATTTAAAAACAGCAATGATAACATGTCTAAGTTGGAAGCTAAAAGAACAATCTAAAATGTTACAAACTTACAACATAATGTCCAATTTAATAAATTAAAACGATAATATTTAAATTGCTCTATAAATAAAATAACAAAACCATCAGTAATCCCTCCTCGACGCCGACTCCCAATGCACAAGGGTCTGTTCCAGACTATCAACAGCAGCTCTCACTGTTGCACTCATGTTTTCCTTCTCCAGAGAGAGTTTCAGTACGTCCTGCATTATCTTTCCCATCCACTACATACAACAAAAAATAAAAGATGAAATACAATAACAACATATAAAACTTAATTAAAATACAACGATAAATATAATATGAGACATATCGCTTCCATGGCAGTAGGCGGTGGCACATAATCATCATCGCTGTGGTCGAGATTTGCGATCAACCTCGGGTGCGAATACCGGTTGAACCATTCCATGTAGTAGTGGTCACACATGGGAGGAACCCAAGAGGGCGGCCGCTGCAACTCCGCAGTCCATAAGCGGGCCACCATCGGAAACTGGTCCCACGTCCCAGTCATGATATCCGGCTATTGCACGACGTAGTCCCTCGACGATGCAGGTCGGACCGCCTTCATCGGGCATGCCGGGGGAGGAGGGACAACTTGGACAAATCCAAGCTGACGAAGACAACGCTGGGGCATGTACGCCTCGACGATCTCAGGATACTGAATGAGTCCCGTGTACAGGGTCCTGGGTACCCTAACACTAGGGTTCGGGCCGAAAGGCATCCAGTTCACCTGCACATAGTTTTAAAATTTAATAACATGAATATAATATGTGCAAATAATAAAATGTAGAAACAATTTAT